GAGCTGCAAACAGCTTGTCTGGGAGGTGTGGGGTGTGGCTTCTGCCACAACACACATCCCCAGGAGGCACATGCCTCTGGATCTATGCATGGGTAGAGGGCAAGCTCCTGCTGCAGTCAGGGGCCAGGGTGGCACAGGGCTCTTCCTAGCAGGGGCTGGACCAGGGCTATGCTTGGGGGGGGAGGGGGGGGAGCAGCAGCACTGACAGAGGGGGTTACAGGAGCCACAGCAAATTTTGGGGTGGCTCCAGCCATCACCATAGCTCCCTCCCAGAGCTGCCGCCCAGCCCAAGTGCAGCCCTGACCCAGCCCCTGCTGGGATAAGCCCAGTGCAGCCCCAGCCCGCAGCAGAAGTTTGCCTTCACCCCATGTGCAGATCTGGGGGCACACTCCCCCCCATGCCCTCCTGGGGTGCGTGCAGCAGTGGCAGCTGCATCCCCTCAGTCCCTCAGACTAGCTGCTCACACCTCCATCACCAGCTCCACTCCAGCTCTGCAGCGCTTGCTCCTGCCCCACTCCCTCCCTTACCACACAGGCCTCCATCTGCCCCCACGATGCTCCTTCCCTCCCCCCATTGCCCCTTCCCCCACAACAGACTTACCGGCCAGGTGCCATTCTCCATGGTGCCCAGCTGTATATTGGAATTGGATCTATATTGGCAAATATGGCTCATTCAAAACTGGCCACTGGTATCGGCCCAAAAATCCTTTATCGGTGCATCCCTAGTTCATATCCCTTATTCTACACCCCCCACCCCACCACGTGTATACACATACACACACACACACACAAGTTACACACACACACACACTTAACATAACCCTGGATGCTCTTGCTATCTGTATAAAAGGCATCCTGCTTAAGCTTTTGTATCTTATGAAAAAAATTCACAGGTTAATTAACTGTTGTACAGAAAAAGAATATTTCCTTTCAAAGCTGTTGTTTTTCCAGCTTTATTTGTTTTTCTATTTGTTCATATCCTGAAAATGGATGACTATGTAAACTATACTCTCTCCACAGCAATGCATTATTACAAGATTTATCAAGTTCCCTCATTTTTATCCTTTCATTTCCACTTTTATCAAGCACTTGTTTTGGAGACACTCTTCCCCACCTGTAATTTTCTTGCTGCCCATTTTTTAAATCCTTTAGTTCTGCAATAATTTTTTGGTCTTCCCAATTTCAAAGGTAAGTGTCTAATATGCATCCACTAATCAATGTACAAGAAGTATTTTCTAGTCCTCCTCCCCACCATAAGTACTGGTGTTTTATTTGTTCTTTTGACTACTAACACAGTCTGAGCAAAATTTTAATGAAGTTTTCAATTCTGGGCAGTATACTTTTATTCTAGGATTTTTCATTCAACTTTTTTCTTCTTGTTTTCATGAAGCATTCCTTGTTAGAATGACAGAGCTGCACACACTTCATTATAAAAAAAAGGCGGGGGGGTCTTCAACTTTGCTTCCTTAAAAAAATTGTCAGCAAGCTGAAAAGATGAAATGAAGGGGATCTCACTGGGACTGTCTAAACCAAGGGTTGGCAACCTTTCAGCAACAACAGGCCAAATTAAATGTTGCTCAGTGTAAAGGCATGCTGCTGCTTACTACCTGGAGAATGAGGTTTGAGAGCAACTAGAGAGGTACACCGTGGAGAATGATCTCTGGCATATTTCTAAGTCTGGAGCAGGTGGGCAGGACATACCTGAGGCCAGGGCATGCTTGCACCAAGGTGCAAATATGCCCAGTCAGGAGTGATGCGCTGATTTGTCTACAAAAAGACTAATTTGGGATGACAGTTATCTACATTTGCAAAGCAAATGCCAAGCATTTTCACATCAGCTGTGCCATTCATGCAATTAAATGATTATGATGGGTAATATAAGCTAGCCCTACATCATATCAAATACTTTTCTACATTAATGCTTTTTTAACGTTAAATTAAATATCCTGCTTAACAGTAAAAAATACTTAAAAATTAGGTACTGCCAAAGTTTTCCAGGGAAGTAGTTTCACCTCTAGTGCTAGCACCTGAGAGCTGGGTTCTATCCCCACAGCCACGAGCAAATTGAAGACCTACTGTGGATGTATAGATGTGCCTAAGTATACACCTATGTGACTTAATAAGTCAGTCTGAATGAACAGATGAGGATGTCTCAAAAACTTGGTCTTCATAAAGTAAGAGAGAAGCCTAGTTCATATTTTCAATTGGGAACTCTTACAAATTGCTATAATCTAAGGCAAGAGTGTCCAACTCTTTTGAATGTGGGGCCAGATCATGAACTTTTTATCACCCAGTAGGCCAGCAAGCCATATTCAAAAACCTCACAGGAAGTGGTATCACATCACCCCCCCACCGAAACAAAAGTACAGTGTTTACTTTTGTTTCCTGTTGCAGCACCTCACCTCAGAAAATGGCTTGGCGGGCCACATGTTAAACAAGCCTGATCTAAGAGGAGTAGATGTATGCAGAACAGTGGCTGATTCCACCTGTGAAGTGGTAACACAGGTAAGACAAGAAATGGTAGTTAAAGTGATGTTGGAGCCATGATGGTCCAGAACATATACAAAGCAAGAATTCGTGTGGGTAATTTCTACCGGATCAACTAAAATGGTGGGGACAGACATAGACAAGCTTTCAGGTATCACAGTACTCTTCCTGTGATGCCAAAAGCTTGTCTATCCCAACCATGTAATTGATACAATAAAAGAAAGTATCCACAGGAATTCTTGCCTCTCAAAACAAGAAACATATTTTAAAAGGCATTTAACTGATTCTAAAATAAGATTTCCCTAATCTAGCTGGGCTGTCAATAACCAAAACAGTTCTATTTATTTTAAAAATACAGAAGGAAACAAAAAGCAGGCTAAAGGGGAAAGGAAGCCTTTACTATATTTCATAGTTGTGCTGGATGGTTCCACCTAGCATTCAACAATCTTAAACTAAATGTGGAGTTTCTGTCAACATTATCATAAACAGAAAGTGAATACTGGACCAAGGAAAAAGGGCAGACTGGGGGGGAGGAGGGGGGAGGAAAAAACATTTCTGGTTTATGATCAAATTCTAAAAGGAATATAGCTATTGAAGTTTGTAATAACTAAGCCTAAAGCAAACTAAGTTGTGCACAGACATGAATCTCACAATTCACGTGTCTGTTTTTGATCATCAAGGGCACACAGTCATGTTATGAGGAAGACCAACAGCTACCTGCAACTTCTGCAGGTTTTATATACAATCCAAAAACTCTCAGGGGAGGGAAATTATTTGTGCTGGAGGGCCATTTAATGAGTTTTGGTGAGCTGCTGAGAGCAGTCAAGAAGAAGCCAAATTGATCCTATCTGCCCCACTGGTTGCCACGATGCCATGAACCTGAGGAGGGAGGGCTGTGCCTTGTGTCATTCTGCTCTGCCACAGCCAAGGCTTGGCCAGGCAGCATGCAGACTCCTTCCCACCGCCCCCCCCCAACGGCTTCCTGTTGGAGCTGTGTAGTCCTGGCACTGTGGCTGCTGGCACCTGGGCCCACACGGTATAGAGTGCAGAGTGCGATGGAACATGCTGAGTAGCAGCCCCACCCGCCCACCACAATGAGCCACTGCCACTGGAGCTGCACCAGGAAAGTCAGGGGCAGTGACCTCAGGACAAATCCTCCCTCACCCACAACTAGTATGGACTCACCTTGTACTTTGGAAAGTATTAAAAGCAAGTCATGCAGGGATCATCTGATGTCTGTAGCTGCATATGTAGGCTTGTGCTCACATTAATATTTCTGTCAGTATTTAAAATGTCCTGATTCTGAGATATAAACTTCTTCTAGAAAGAAGAAAGCATACATACAGATGTCCCAAAATATGCTAAAACATAGGAGACACTGAGGAAACTAATCCAAGTGTGGTATTAAGAGGACAGCATACCTGCAATTCTTAAATATTTCTTAAGTAGCGTAGAATTTTTAAGTTGGTTATACTGCTGCATACCACTATGATTCTGTGTAATGAATAATAAGAAAGAACAAAACTTCATAATTTTATCTGCATTGCTACTTAGGCCCACCATACCCAGCCCCACTCTAGCTCTAACTTTTCCTCCACGTACATCAGTGGTTAGCTATGTTTTTGAGCCATGGACTAAAATAACTCAACCTAGGTCTGAGGCAGGTCAGCACTGCCACCACTTCTCCCTGCTGCCTGGCTATGATATGGGTAAAGCCCCTGCCACTGAATCACTACTGAAGCCCCCACAGCTCTGCAGGATAGATCAACTCGATTCGTATTAAAAATCCCCTAGCTTGCCATTTGTTTCAGTTCAGCCTGCATGTGAAAGTTTGCCCAAGTACCATTCCTTCTGGTGCGTCTTCCCCTCCCCACTTTGGAGAGGTAGTATCAGATTGTACGTCTGATCACTCCCTAAACTGGTTACTCAGGCAGCAAGATAGGAAGTCAAGGATCTTTTGGATGCAACCTTATGAGCCTAATTATTACTGAATTGCTATAAATTAGATTGCTCTCACTTTTTTTCTGGTTATCACCCTGCCCCTTCTCCCCTGCCCTGAACTATAAATTACTTTTTAACAGGTTTCTATAAATTCAAAACACCAACAGGCAAGTCTTAGGATTTATTTCTTTTGATTCCACTTTTTGTCTCTCAAGGACATAAAGGGGCAGGTACAACTTTATATACTGGGAACTAAATTCTAAAATCAGTTATAATGAGATATTCTGACAGCAAAACAGGAGGTGGTAGTGATAATAGCTGTGAAAGTAAAGAAACAATGTGGTTCAACTAAAATGCCAGTTAAATTTTTCTACTAGGATCAACCCCGCCCCACTTTTTTATATTTTGTATAATACGATCAAAAGTCTCCAGAAAACAGTTCCAGAATTAGAAAGAAAGATATAAAGTGTTAAAGGGAAAGATGCTATACTTAAAATTCCATGTGGATTAGGCAATACATTTATTGTAGCCTGATTTTTATGTTCTCTTTTAGGTACTTATCTCGTCTTCATTAGCACAGAGATCTAAGTGCTTCATTCACACAAGCTTGAATGTATTTATCCTTGTAACACCTCTGAAGTAGGGAAATACAGTAATCCCTGTTTTACAGATGGGGAACTGAAGCACTGGAAGAAATTAACAGTTTACTTAGAATATTTTCTACAGAATGTATACCTTGGCCTAGTGGGTTCCCGCTGCCATTTTTCTGCTGTTTGCTTATTTGTTCACAGTTACATAAATTAAGCAAAGGGTTAACAACAACAGAAAAAGCTATGCAAAGTGTCTGCTCATCACTTTTTCTTATCTGTTTTGAATGTCATCTCTTTAGGGCAGGAACCACTGCTTTCTCCAGGCTTGTACAGTGTCTAGCCCTGGCTTTGATTTCTAAGTGTTACCATATACAAAAAATATTCAAGGTTTGAATGTATTCTGCATAAAAACAAATTGCTAAAACTGATAAAAACATGTACTTTTAACTCTCCAGTTTAAATTATTTCCATTTTGAAAAATGCTTACATTTGATATATCCTAAAAAAATAAAAATAAATGTACCAATCTAGATTTAGAACACAGTTGGTAATATTCCGCACCACCATTTCACACACCTTTCCCAAGTTGTGAAACCCAATGTAGTATAAAAAGAACTTTCAGTGTAATCGCAAAAATTCACTATATCTAATGTATGAATATAACGATTCATGTGGTGCATAGCACACGTTTGTTCATTGCGAGTTGTCATTTTGTGCTCTAAGGGTGACCACATTTTAACAGTGCTATCTGCATTGCAACAGGGGGCCTACCAGGGCCGATCTCTGCGTGGCCTGCCCACCTGTTCTTCAGCAAACCGCCTGCCTTCTCGCCCACCGTGCCTTGGTCTTAATTGATTAATTAATAGATGTAATTAGGCAGGAGGCTGCCCGTTTACTGCACCGCTGCTAGAGGGCACTATCTGCAGCTCCATTCCTCCCCTACTCTGCAGCTGAAGCCTCACTGATATCATGATGTTCTCATACGCGCCAGTCCCCCATGATGGGGCCCAGAATCCTACTGTAGGACCCCACCTGGGTTCCTCCCTTCAGGCGGACTCTGCCACCGTCATACAAGGCCATATATCGCCCTGCCATCAGTTCCCCTTCGGGTGTGGTCCCCTCACAGCTCACATTAGCCCCGGCTCACCTCCAGACCAGTCGGAACTCCAGGCCCCTGGCTCTTGGGTGTCCCTCTCGGTGGGCCTCCTTACCCTTCTGACCCTCCTGGTCCTGGCCCCCACCTGGGCCAGTCAGGGGAAGCTCTGGCAGGCCTTGCTGTATGACCCATACTCTTATCCTGGGGTCTCCCCCTCTCCGGGTCCTCCTCCACAGATGTGGGGAGCTGGGGCTACCTCACACCACAACTGGTGCCTCAGGGTCTCAGCAGTTAAAGATGACAAAATATTAAGGATCGACTGATAGAAATGAAAACAAAGGATGTCTTCTGACCCCTATACTTTTTTTTCCCCTCAGAACAATGAATAAACTGAGTTAAAGTAAAGGTTACTTTGTGTCTGAAAGCTTGTCAAATTTATCTCCCAACTATACCGTTGGTTCACTAAAATATATCACACAACTCTTCCCCCAATACATTTCCTAGACCTAAACCAAGGATGGCACACCTGTGGTACAGGCAGCCTGCTTGGGGCATGCAGCAGACTGGGAAAATGACAGACAGAACAGCAGCAGATAGGGCAAATAGCAGAAAGCAGGGCAGGCAACTGAGCAAGGGAAGGGGATTAGAAATAGCACTTGGGGAGGACATGCCAAAATGGCTGGCCCCTAATGGCTTAGATCATCACAGCTCCTGAACACGCCACCCATACTCCAAATAACCTATTATTAGTCTTCTCATGCTAGGGTTAATTGTCTTACTCTTCCATAGAATTTTTGCATCCAGAAGTCTCAATCAAGAGGAATCAAGCAATTTGTTAGAAAAGCAAATTCATATAAAAAAATCTCTTTTAAATTGGAGCAAAATAAGTTTGATGAATTCAGGAGAGCTCAAACTGGAAATTCAGGTCATGAGATGTTTCTGTCTAGTGTTTAAGCTACAAATATTCTTTAATTAAAAACAGCATTCCTTTCCAAGATTTATTGAAAATGCAAAATTACAAGAAGGATTTCTCCTGGAACAATAAAACTCTCGATTGTAGGTCACTTATTTCTGGGAAGATGTCATTTCAGAAAAATTGCTTGACAGAATTAATGTAGTAGCAGGAAGATTTGTTTCTACTCAAAACTCTGAAAAAAGACAGGAAAAAACTAATTGCACAGATTCTGAAAATTCAGAACATATTTAGGCAGCTGAACAAGTGAACAAATAGGAAACATACCGCATAAGTTATGGAATAAATGTATATCAGGCCTGATGCAATTATTAGACAAATTTTAGCCAGTTACATCAAATTCATATACAGCTATGCAAGCAAGAACAAAATGGATTTAAAGCATTTTGGAGGTCAGCTGATTTAGACTTTGCACAATTAACCCAAAATACTGCCACTTCAAATTCTGAAGACACAATGAGAAGCAGACAAGCTGGAGTTAAATATTAACAGAGCTCTACAAACAGAATATTTAAATAACCATCTAGGAGGGGCAGGAAATCAGTTTATAGCTAAGTACAGACTTCAAAAAACCCAAGGCAGAATTGATCCAATCATTGCAGGTTTCTTTAAAGCTGCACAGACTGGATCAGAAGCAAACACAATTTATATTTGCCTTACAGTGAAGAAAGGCACAAAGAAATTTGCACTGGCTGAGGCTAGAATGTGGGGAGTGCTCCTGCATGCCTCCCAGCATGCTGGAGATTGCCAAGAGCAGCCATCCCTGATTGGCTGTCACACACATGCCTCCCCCTGCTGCAGCAGGCAGCCAGTGGAGAGAGATGTGCTTGCCTCTACTTGCAGTGGCATGGGGGTCCACCCCAGACAATATAGAGGCCAGGGGTAGGGAAGAGAGGCTTATGAGGTGTTGGGCAGAGGCAGTTCCATCTGCATAACCTGCTTCCTCAGCCTGGATCAGCAAGGCACATAGCGTCCCTCTCCCCTGTCCTGGTTTTGTCCGAGTCCTGGGACTGCGCACTGAAGCGGGTCAGGAAGGGTTCGCAGGATTGCCCCCCTCCCCCAGGCCACCACCCAGTTTGGGACTGCAGACACTCCCTGTGCAACTGTAGGGTTCCAGTCTCTTGTGGGGGGGGGAGGGGGCAGCCATGTCCTGGACTTCAGCCATGTGTCCTGAACTTCGGGGGCTGGGGGGGGCACAGCCATGTGCTGGCAGCTACATGGAAAGTGGCTTCAGCTCTGAACTCAGTGCTGGTTCAGGGGGAAGCAGCGACAAAGATGGAATTCTGAAAGTCTTCCCTGGAGCCACTCCAGTGTGTGGTCCAGAGTGTTCCTCCTCTATCCTAGAGCCCTGGGACCATGCACTGGAATGGCTCTGAAAAGGGCTTGCAGAATTTGCCTCTTTTTCCCCGGCTAATGCTGAGTTTGGGGCTGAAGTTACTTTCCATGCTGTGGCAAGGGCATGGCTGCTCCCCTCCTCCCCAGGGAGTGGAGCCCCACAGCTGTACAGGAAGCAGCTTTAGCCAGGGAATATGAAGCTGGTTCCAGCACTGGGGAAGAGGGGAGAGAAATCCTGTCAACCCTTCTTTGAGCTGCTCCTGTGCGGTCCCTGGGGTTCAGACTAAACCAGGACAGGGGAGGGATTCTGTGCCCTGCCAACCCAGGCCCAGAATGCAAGGGTGCACCTCTGGTACTACCTCTCCCCAGCATCTCACAAGCCCTGTTCTCCACCCATCTCCCCCCCCCTCCCCCAAATCTTGTCTGTGGCTGTAGCTAGACAGCTTGGTGGCAGGGCTAGCTAGGTGCTTGGCTGGAGCAGCAGAGCTGTAGGGGGAGGGTTAACAGGCAGCCCACAATGGCCCCTGGGATGCTGGTAGACAGCAAACTACCATGGTTTGCGAGCAGACCTGGTACTGATGATCATTTCACCAGTCTAACCTAGATTGGTTAAGTCTGATATTACATCAATCCAGGTTCACCTTAGACCAGGATCCACCATTTTTAAAGCAGTCTGTGTGTCCTGAACTTCTGTTACAGATATAGACTGGTTTCTGACCACCTAAACTGGAAAAAAGTGTAATGCCTGTACTTGACCTATGAAATTATACTAGCATTCTTCTATAAGCCAGTGTCAAGCTCCTGCTTTCATCAGAAAAGGCACTCTGAAAGATACTTTGAGTAGTCAGCAGTACCTCAATGCAGAGTGGAGGGAGTGGCAATGGAGAGGCAAGGAGGGGAATTAGTTAGCCTTCCTTTCCAGGCTTACAGCTGCACTGCTGCTAACTATTCACTCCAATTCAGTTGCGGCAGAGGGGGATGACACACTTGGTTGCTAAGCAACATCTCTCGGGATTAATCTCAATTCTGGCACTCTGCCACTTGGGAATAGTTAATTGAGTCTAGAGCTTGCAGATGGAGGGCAGGGGGGAGGGGGGAAGGAAAAAAGAGAGACCAACCTAGGCAATGCACCGCTAAATGCAATCAGATGCCAACTGCAATGAATCCCTTTATAACTGTTCCACAAATAAGCAGGCTACAGATGCTTCAAGATAATTCTTTACATATAAAAAATAGTTTATATAATAAATGTATATCAACTTAAATTCCCCTGTGTTAGTAATTAAAATTTCTCCCATAAAAATCTGAGGGTTTTTTTTTTTGACTCTACTTAACATTAATACCTGGTGATCAGAACAAATAGAAGATTACAGGGAAACTTACACAAAATAAAAGAAAAGGTTCAGATTTCCCTCACCTCACCTACTATTTAAATATTTGCCTGTGCATGGTTTTTCTGTGAAACATACATCAGTTTTTTTGGTACACTGTAGTAATGCCATCGATGCAAAACTGGGCTGTGCTGTTACTAAAGTGCTATCCTGGCATCTCCCCAGTTCCTGCTTGGTATGAAAAAAGTACACACTAAGGTGAGAAAAGGCCTTAAAAAAATGTTATAGTAACTGGGGTTCCTTGAGTTGTATTTCACAGGTTTACCACTTACCCCAACTGAAGACAAAGAATGGACCCAACCCTATAAGCCCCCGGTTACTTTGCCAGTGCAAGATCCTAGAGCTAAAAGATCCCATAGTAGCAGGGAAAGGAGGAGGGTTGTGAAATCCAAGTAGACAACATATTTTACTTGTTAAGACTTACACATTTTAGGAATAGGGGCATT